GAGACTCAGCTCCTCCAGTGAAACAGGGGCAGGTCCAGGGCACAGAGGGATCTGCCTCAACCTGTTGCTGACTCCAGCAAAGCTTTTCCCTCCCTGCAGTGGAAGCGGGAGCAGCAGCAGGCCTGAGGAGAAGAGCAATTTCCTTATTTACATCTTGGCACGGATCCACCCAGCGAGTGAGGAGGGAAGTGAGCACAGCCCTGAGCTGGGGGGGAGCTGGGAGTTTCCCCACCCACAGCAGCTGATGCAAAGACCACCCTGCTCCCCACAACATTCCCAAAAACTCCTTTTTCCTTCCCCTTGCTCTTTTCTCCGGGTGCGCTGAGGCTCTTGGAAGAGCTCAGGCGTTTCCCGCTGCCCTGAGCTGTGTGGGAAGCAGCTGTGCTGAGATCCAAGTGGTCCCTGAAAGCCTGGGGCAGCCCCCAGCCCCCGAGCAGCCCCGTGGGGCAGGAGGTGTTACGGGCTCGGGCTTTGCTGGGAGCTGCCAGCGAGGCAGGGCTGGTGGGGTTTGTGGGGATGGGCTTTGCCTCCCGCTCCGAACCCTGAATAGAAAAGGTGCCAACAGGGACAGAAACGGGGTCCAAAACCCGCTGCTCACTCTGATTAAGTCTCAACCATCACATTTTGGGACAGAACTTCATAAAGATGTTTGATTTCCCCAGGGACCCTCTGCAGTGGAGCTCCAGGGGCAAACCTGCCCCAAGCCCAGCACTTTGTTCTGTCCATGAATTTATCCCAAGCCACACTTGCAGGAGCACCTGGGAAGGGGCTCCAGACTCAGTCCCTCACGGCTGTCGTGGCTTCCCACCACACCCAGGGCCAGATACAGCCACAACTGGACAAGGGGGTTGTGCTCTGCTAATCAGCTGATAAACAGAGCTGGAGCCCCAGTAACTCTCCCAGGGGCTACCCAGAGCCACTGGGATTGCTTTAGGAATTAAAGAGCTCTGGGTGACCCCGGGGGCTCCTCCCGGGCCGTGGCACTGCCTGCTTCCTGCAGGCTCAGGGTGAGGCTGGGAGATGTGCCAGAGGGGATGGGGCAGAGCAGGGAGGCTGCAGAGCCCAGGAGCGTGCTGCTGCTGGGGACAGAGTCCTGGCACACAGCTCCTGTGGGGTCGTGTCCCTGTGCAAAGTGGGCTGGTGCTCGGTCCCCCCCAGCCAGGCAGCTCCAGGGGATGCTCCCGTGAGTGTTCCTAGTTTGATCCCATCCTACATGCTCAGGATCATGGCCCTGCACTGGCAGCAAGAAACAGAGTGAAAATCAGCTGCACCGTGCTCTACAGAGCCAAAAATTGCTGCTGTGCCATTTTAATGTGCTGATAAAGGAGGTGGAGTTCTTTAAGAGACACAGATGTGGCACTTGGGGACGCGGGTTAGTGGCCAGGTGCTGGGGGAAGGTTGGACTCGTAGAGCTCTTTTCCAACCCAAGTGATTCCATGGTTCCATCCCAACCAGTCTCCCTGGCTGGACTCACCCTGCCTCCATATCCCTCCACCAAGCAGAGGACAGGGCTTTTGTGCCAAGGCAGCCCCATGGCAAGTGTCTGCAGCCAGCAGTACACGTTTTTGGGAAGGGCTGAGCAGGACCCCAGGGCTGAGGGGAGATAAAGGCTCTGAAGCCATCCCTGGCAGCCAGGGAGCAGAGCAATACCACTGCAGGCAGCTACAGGAGCAAGAAACACATTCCACATAGGAATCCCCAGCAATCCAGCTCAATCTGCTCCAGGCTCAGCTCCAAGGGCAGGAGCAGCTCTTCTCTCTGAGCTACCCCAACAAGACCGACCTGGAGTTGGGGTTAAGCCACGATGGATACCGAGATCTGCAGCTTATTCCCAAACCAGCTCCCTCTCCTGATTTCCACAGCTTGCACAGACACCAGTACCTGTCCCAGGATCTGACAGATGGCCATCAGAGAGTCGGGCTCAGAACCAAGCTCATCTCAATTTGCAGGGCTGCCAACATCCCAGTACCAGAACAAACAGCCTCAGCAGGAGATAAATCAGGACCAAGGGAAGAGGCGCCTCTGCGGCTCCCAGCGGATTTTGGCTGGAGGCTGCTTCACCCCCTGGTCACCTCTGGTCATCCCTGGTCATCTCTGGTCACCTCTGGTCACGTAGAGCATTTCACTAGGCCAGCCCTGACCTCCCAGGACAGCCTCCCACCCGTCTGTCCCACAGTGCCCCCTGGTCACCTCTGGTCATCTCTGGTCACCTCTGGTCACCCAGAGCATTTCACTAGGCCAGCCCTGAGCTCCCAGGACAGCCTCCCATGTCTGTCCCACAGCCAAGCAGGACACTGAGGTTCCCCTTCCCAAAAGGTCTCAAGCATCTCTGGAGCCCCTCTGGACCGCAGATCCAGCTTTCTCCAGGTGCAACATCATTCCAGCAACATGGGCATGAGTGACCCGTGCACACCTTCTGTTTTAAAGTGTAAAAGGCACTCTCAAATTTGCAGGGAAGACACCAGAGCCTCCCAGGACAGCCTCCCACCCGTCTGTCCCACAGCCAAGCAGGACACTGAGGTTCCCCTTCCCAAAAGGTCTCAAGCATCTCTGGAGCCCCTCTGGACCGCAGATCCAGCTTTCTCCAGGTGCAACATCATTTCAGCAACATGGGCATGAGTGACCCGTGCACACCTTCTGTTTTAAAGTGTAAAAGGCACTCTGAAATTTGCAGGGAAGACACCAGAGCCCCCGCAGAACCATCACCAACAGCGCCCTTTCAAAGGGCTGCTGTGCCACCACACAAGGACAGAAATCTCCTGGTCTCCTTGATCCAGTGATGGGATTTGGGAGTGAGTGAAAGCAGCTCTGGATCCTCAACTCTTAGAGCTGCTCCACTTCTCCTGGCTTCAGTGGGACCAGATTCAAATGCTTCAGCTGAAGCCTGGCTTCAGCATTTTCTGAGGAGGAAAATCAGCTCTGGCTTTCATCCGTCTCCTCCACCCCTCCAGTTCAGCATTCCCTCTCCCAGTCTGGAATGGGACTAATCCTCCCTCCCCTCTCCACATTAACAGGACATACTTCACAGGAAAAGGCACTTCCAAGGAAAAAACATCAGGCATTTCAAGCAGATATTTGATGGTACCCCAAGGATGAGCAAAGCTTTTCCTCTTTGTCCTCTTTCTGAGGCTGAGCAGCAATGCCAAAGGGAATCCTTGATTTCCCAGGAGGAAAGAACCAACTTGCTTCTACTACTGATAAATGTGATTGCACCCAAACACGTCCCTGTGTCCCACTCAGTCTGTGCCATGCCAAGCAGTTCCAAAAGGAACAAACCCTTGAGGCTCTCCAGAGCACCAACAGGTCCTGGGGAGCGCTCAGGGATGCAGCATATTATCCCTGCTCCTGCCTGGTGCCAGCTCCCCGTGAGCAACGGGCAGCACTTGGTACCAGGGAGGTAGAAGTAGGTCAGCTCTGCAGCTACAGCATCCCACGCCACCCTGGACACACAAAACACTGCACAACTGGGAAACTGAGCTGTGCCCTAAGAGTTATCCCAGCAATCGAGGGTGCAGCTGGATTTTGGGGCACTGGATTTACCCTCTCTGGGGCTGGAGTGCTGAGATATGAGCAAAGGAGCAGAGAACTCTGGGACCAGGTTGAAAAAGATTTTGTTTTGTCACGGGGAGAAGAGTTTTGTGTTTTCCTGACTCATCTCCCCCTCAGTTTCCCATGGAAAGCCTCAACACTTAGCACAGCTCCTGTTCCAAAGCCAGAGGAGCCTTTCTGGCAGCCCTGAGCTGCTGGCAAGGCAGCACCTGACACATCGCAGCTCCCCACACTCGAACCCGCCGAAAGCCACCACAGGGGAGAGCAGGGGAAAAGCCTCTGGATTTCTTTTTCCCTACTGAAAACCTTTTGGTCACCTTCAGTCACAACCCCACCATGTCCCCAGGAGAGATGTCCCACTCACACCAGACAGAGATGGGGTGTTGAAACCCAGGGAGGAGAGCTGCAGGGACAGAGATTGGAGCACTCTGCCCCCCGGGAGGGCAGTGCAGCCAGCACGGGGTCACAGACCCCAAATGGGGAGTCACAGACCCCAAATGGGGATCACAGACCCCAAACAGGGATCACAGACCCCAAATGGGGATCACAGACCCCAAACGGGATTCACAGACCCCAAATGGGAGTCATAGACCCCAAATGTGAGTCATAGACCCCAAATGGCAGTCATAGACCCCAAATGGGCATCACAGACCCTAAACACGGATCAGAGAACGCAAATGGGAGTCACAGACCCCAAATGGGAGTCATAGACCCCAAATGGGAGATTGGAGCACTCTGCCCCCCGGGAGGGCAGTGCAGCCAGCACGGGGTCACAGACCCCAAATGGGGAGTCACAGACCCCAAATGGGGATCACAGACCCCAAACAGGGATCACAGACCCCAAATGGGGATCACAGACCCCAAACGGGATTCACAGACCCCAAATGGGAGTCATAGACCCCAAATGTGAGTCATAGACCCCAAATGGCAGTCATAGACCCCAAATGGGCATCACAGACCCTAAACACGGATCAGAGAACGCAAATGGGAGTCACAGACCCCAAATGGGAGTCATAGACCCCAAATGGGGAACACAGACCCCAAATGGGGAACACAGACCCTAAACACGGATTGCAGAATGCAAATGGGAGTCACAGGCCCCAAATGGGAGTCATAGACCCTAAACACAGATCACAGACCCCAAATGGGGGTCATAGACCCCAAATGTGAGTCATAGACCCCAAATGGCAGTCATAGAACCCAAATGGGGGTCACAGACCCCAAATAGGGGTGACTGGGGAGGAGAACACAAAATGTGGAGCCGTCACGGGGAGAAATGTGTTGGATGGAGGTGAAGCAGATGGAGGGGCAGGAAGATGTGGGTTTGGGGAGCAGAGGACAGCCAGGCAGATGGATGGAGATGAACCAGCCTTGGATCAGCCCAACAAAGCCGCCCTCAGCCTCCACCTCTCCCTCCCCAGCCAGGTCCTGCTCCCACCCTCCAGCCGTACCTTTCTGGATGCCTCCGTCTGCTGCACAGGAGAAGTCCCCCGTGGCCAGCAGGAAGCACGTGGAGGATTTCTTGTTCTTGTCCCGGGTGCTGGAGCGCCGCATCGGCCGCTTCTCCTCGTCCGTCGGGGACAGCGGCTGCTCCTCGTCCGACAGCACCACGTTGGCCTCGCCGTTCTGCTTGGAGTCTGCAGGGAGGCAGAGACCCATCAGCAGCTGACAAAGCCACAGCAGAAAGTGCTCAGGGTGGCCAGGAGGGGCTGGCCAGACCGTGCAAGGAAGCACAAGAGCAGGCTGCAGGTGAGCAACACCGACCAATTCAGGTGCTGATCCCAGCCTGGACATGCTCATTTAGAGCAGCCAGGGGAGCAGGACAAACACAGATATGATTCCAAGCAGCTCTAGTCCTGCTGAGGGATATAAAACCTGCATGAAGCCAAAGCTGGGGATGAAACACCCCAGGTTTTTGAGATCCACCCACCTAATCGGAGGGAATTAGCTCTCCAAAATTCACACTGCTGAGGAACGGGCTGCTCAGGGTGGTGGGAAGTGCTAATTTATGTCCCCTGGCTCCCTGGTTGCTTGGCTGAGAGGATGCTCTGCCATGTGAGGGCCTGGCCTGGGCTCCTGGCTCTAACGGCTCCCTGCTGCCAGGGCTCCTGGGCAGATGGGATTCGCAGGCATGTGGAAAAGGATTTATAAAGGGAAAGAGCTCTTTGGGGCACCCAGAGCTCCCTGTTTCCTCAGCAGGGAAATCCCCATCCCTGTTAAACCCCTCAGTGCTGGTGCAGGACACAACCCCACCATGGTGTTCCAGACACCCCAGAGGTGCCACTGGCAGCAAAGCAAGGCAAAATGGGCAGAGCAGCCACCATGGCCAGCACTGACAGTGGGGCAGGGCTCACACAGACCCCCAAAGGTAGCCCAAGGGGTGCTGCCCACAGCTGCCCACGGCTGGGGCTGTGCCTTCTGCTGATCCTAAGGAAAAACTGGCCAACCCCCAAACTTCAGCTCAATGCATGAGACCAAAAGAAAGAGAAATGTCCAGGGATTGGTTTTGCTCAGGATTTGGAGCAGCAGTGCAGGGATTCTGTCTACCAGCAGATGAATGAGGACGTGGGGTCAAGCCCCAGGGAATGCTCCTGGATTTATCAATTTTGGTGAAAGTTACCCTGATTTATGGTGGGAGGAAGCAAAGGAAAAATCTGTGCCAAGGGCATGACCAGGCTAACATGAGAGTAGGGCGAGTGGCCTTACCTCTGTCACTGTGAGGGAGGTGGGTTAGGCAGGGACACCTTGAAAGCCACCACAGTGACTTGATCTGTGCCATTAGGAGGGAAGGATATGGCTTTTGGGAAAGCAGGTGGCCTTTCCCCCCTGCCTGGGTGGGGGATTTGACCTGCAGTGCCCTGCTCCACCAGCATGGCCCCCACCACCCTCACACCTGAGGGGCCCCACCCAGAGCTGGGGGCCACATCCTGCACCATCCCCGGGGACTCGGGGACCAAACAAATTGCCCTGAGGGCTCCCGGAGGTCTCCCCCTCCCTCGGCCCCACCTTTGGGGTCTCACCTGACCGTTTCCGCTCAGTCGCCCCCTCCTCTACTGCCAGTGGGCAGGTGTCGCTCTGGGTGCTGTTCCGGGGCGAGTTCTCCTCGGATTTGCCGTAGGTGGGGGAGTCCAGCGGGGCCGGACGGGGTATATGCTTTTTCTTCTTCTTTGGCAGCTTCTGCTTGGCCATGGCCAAGGAATAGTACATCCCAAAGTTATTGACGATGACGGGCACGGGCATGGCGATGGTCAGCACCCCGGCCAGGGCGCACAGGGCCCCCACCACCATCCCCGACCAGGTCTTGGGGTACATGTCACCATAGCCCAGGGTCGTCATCGTCACCACGGCCCACCAGAAGCCGATGGGGATGTTCTTAAAGTGAGTGTGGTCACTCCCGGTGGGGTCGGACGTCTTGGCTCCGATCCGTTCGGCGTAGTAGATCATGGTGGCGAAAATCAAGACCCCCAAGGCGAGGAAGATGATGAGCAGCAGGAATTCGTTGGTGCTGGCCCGCAGCGTGTGGCCCAGCACCCGGAGACCCACAAAGTGCCGCGTCAGCTTGAAGATCCGGAGGATGCGGACGAAGCGCACCACCCGCAGGAAGCCCAGCACGTCCCGGGCAGCTTTGGAGGACAGGCCACTGAGACCCACCTCCAGGTAGAAGGGCAAGATGGCCACGAAGTCAATGATGTTGAGCAGGTTTTTAATGAAGAGAAGCTTATCTGGGCAGCAGATGATGCGAACCAGGAACTCGAGGGTAAACCACAGCACGCAGACCCCTTCGATGTAGGTGAGGATGGGTTCCGTCTCCACTTTGTGGGTCAGCAGCACCGTCGTGGTGTTGCCAACCACCAGGGTCTCCGTCACGTTGACGTCGATGTTGAAGGCCTCGTGTGTCTCCAGGCAGAAGGTTGTGATGGAGACCAGGATGAAGAAAAGCGAGGCGAAAGCAACCACCTGTGAAAGTCAAAGTTACAGCGGCCATGAGCTGATGTGGGGCAACTTCTTCTGTTTGGAGGAGGACAAAACATTCCGGATGCTGCCACCCACTGCCCCAAAACCAAGGGTGGAGAATGAGGAGGGACCCCATGACCTCTCCCATGGGTTGACAGCAAACCTCAGTGCCTGGGGCTGTCAGTCCAGGACCTTTCTCCAAGTGCTATGATCTGTGCAGGAGAATGTGTGGAGCTGGGCTCCAGCTGTGCCTGGAGATGTGCAGTGGTGGGGATGAGGGACAACTGGGACAGTCTGGGACTGGAGCAATCTTCCAATGGGAACTGACATGAAAAGGGAATTTTGACAGGACAAATTCAAAGGGCTTTCCCCCACACTCATCACAAACCCCTCCAGATGACAGGTTCACACTGTTCACAGCCATGAGCTTTGGGGTCTGGATGTGTCAGAGACATCATTCACTCCCTCCCTGAGGGTCAGTGGTGGGTGATGTGCCCACAGAAGCTTCAGGACTGCTAGGGTGGATGAGGAGAGGAGCAGGCACAGCTCAGCCTCCTGCTGATGCCTGGAGCTGGTGGCACCCAGATCTTCCCATTTCTCCACACTGCCCAAGAAGGGAGATCGTTGTCCCCCTCATGCCACCTCCTCCTCCCTTCTCCTCGCCTCGGATGTGGGTGAGGAAGGGCCAGCAGCACGCACTGGAAGTCACAGGCTGTGTCACAACGTTCCACCTTGTGCTCCCATTGACCCTGCTCAGCTCCCCGCCTCCCTTCCTCGCGAGCCCATTACCTGGAGCATGTTTCCAAGAGCCAACCCCCCCCAAAAACAAAAAAGCCTCGGAGCAGAAAAACTCCTGTTCTACCTCCCTGCAGCACAACAGCACGGTGGTTTCAGCTTCCCGGGAGCAGGTCCTGCTGCAGCCCCTTTGCCCCGAGCAGGACGTGACCTTCTGCAGTCAAAGCCACCCAAGGGCCGCGCCCGGCGGAGCCGCACCGCGAGGCTGCTCGGGCGACAGCCCTGATCCTCGGCCGGAGTGAATCAGCAGCAGAGGCAGCCTGAGTCACGCTGGAGAAACACCCGACCCCCGCCACCGGCCGTGCCCTGCCAGCAGCCCCGAGCCTGCCAGGAGCGTCCTTGAGGGCTGTCCCCAAGGGCAGACCCGCGTGGGTCCGCCACAGAGCGCCAGCCCTGCAGGAGTTTGGTGTGACATTTAAACCAGGAATTAAATGATGGAGAAACCTGTGGAAGATGATTCTCCTGCCCCAGTGAGGGACACCTGCTCGGGGATGGAGTGAGATGCTCCTCACCCCTCAGTCAGACCCCTTTGAACCGCGCTTGGGGATTCGGCTCTGAAGGCTGACCTGTGAGTGCAACTTGGGAAACAAATCCAGAAAAACTGGGATCTTAAAGCAAGGCCAGCTTAACCAGACAAGTGTCTCTACACAGTGGTGGCACAGCCAAAATAATCTGCTTTTCAGCTGAGGGCTGAGTCACGTTCCTGAGCTTCCCTGTATGGGGAATCTTGGGAAAACCTGAAGAGTAAAAATTTAGACTTAAAGAAAAGTAGAAAGAAAAAACTCACCCAGGAAGGGAGTGAGACCATGAAAACACTTGAGTAATGAAGCAGCCCTGCTGCTGGGTGTGAGGTGAGACCTGATTTAGCCCAAGGAGCAAAATCAGCCTTTAAAAATAGAAGTTGGGTTCACAGCCAGTGCCAAACATCGTGTCCCCCCCAGAGTGCTGCTCCACTTCTGTGTCTGACCCAAGATGTCTCACCTCAGCCACAGTCTCTGCTCCAAACTCAAGTCCTTTTCCAAAACTGTCTTTAAAATGAAATAAAATCTATGTATAAATCCAGTACCACCAATACACACCAAACAAGTCCTCCAGAACCTGCTGATGTTCTACACAATATTGTCCTGCACTCAACAGCTTGCCATAGGTGTCACCAAAAAATCCATGACCCTACAGAGGGTCATGAGCCTGAAAGTCCCCATGAAAGTGAGGTCAGGACTCTCCGAGTTGGGCTGCAAAGGGAAAAAACAATGAGGAGCTGCATGTAAGAAGAGTTTGGACATAGAGGTAAAATCACAGCCAGGGCAGCTTCCCATGGGGAGGAAAAGTGTCAGGCTCCAGCTGGGACAGCAGTTGCACCAGGGACCAAACATTCCCTGAGTGAGGAGCCAGGGACCCCGTGGCCATCGATGGTGCATGGCAAAGAGGCTAAAACATGGGAGAGATTTCCAACCATGTGCTCACACTGCTGCCAGCTCAGGAGAAGTGCTGGAGGGAGGGAAAGATGGAAATAACGAGGAGCCAACTGAGTCAGGGCCCGAGGGGCTGCTCCATGGAGAGGAGGAGCGACGACTGACCAGAGAAATTCAGCTCTTGAGACTCTTAGTCACGGCTGGCACACAGAGAGGAGAGAGTTTGTATGGACAGCCTGGGACTGCTGCTTCCCAAGGTCTGGCAACCTGCTGTTCAGCTGCTCCAGCACATTCCCTCAGCCAGCAGCACCCTGTTTGTGGCTCTGACAAGGGGGAGACCCCAAAATGGGGTGTCAAAGAAATCCCAACCACTGCAAACCTCACCCACCACCAAAGGCAGGGCAGCACCAGGAATGTTGTACCCACACGAGTCCTGCAGCATCCTGGTGCTGGATGATGACTCCAGCCAGGAACTGGGTGCACTCAGGAACTTGGGCTGGTTGCGTTGCTCTGTGCCTCAGTTTCCCCTCTTGCCAGAGCAGTTCTCCTAAGCTGTGGCAAAACTACACTGGTATTTTTTCCTGTTGCCTCTGGAAGTTGATCGTTCCCATGGCACTGCTGAGCTGAACACTTATCTAGAGCACTGAGAAGGAAGCAGGGAGATCCCAGTGCAAACTGGTCCCACTCCAGCCCCAGCGGGGCCTCAATCACCACCATCTCTGCTCCCTCCAGTACATTCCTCCTGCTAAAGCCTTTCCAGGACCAGCTCAGCACACAGGAAAAGCAGAACCAAATGACACCAGGGGGAAAAAAAGGAGTTGAATTATTGTGCTTGGGTTTATTTTTACTTTTGTTTAATTTTTTATTTGGAGCTTTACACCACTCAGAGCATCTCTCCAAGGTGAAGAGCCCTCAGGGATGGGCAGAGGAGGGGGTACCCTTTTAAAATAGGTTCAGCTCTTGCTGCCCGAGCATTCTCTGTGTATGTTGCTCTAACATTTGCTGCAAAAACAGCTCCTTGCCAAACTGACCCCTGCCCTGTGTGCTGCTCGTGGGTGTGAAATGCCTGCAGAATTTCTTACCATTGATGGGGTTTTTTTACACCTCTAAATGCATCCAGGATTCATCTCCTTCCCAACTGCCTGCCTGGGTGTGTGTGGCAGATTTATAAACTGGGCGTGCCAGGGGCTGGGTGGGTATTGGGGGGTCAGGGCAGAGCTTTGGGGATGATCTGTGAGGAGCTGGGAGAGGACACACATGCGCAGAGCAGCGCCGGAGCGCCGGGCTGGGATCCTGGCACGTCCTGGGCACGTCGGTGCCCATGGGGAGGGACAGCCAGCGTGCCCAGGGAGGGTGGGTGGCCTGGGTTTTGGGGGACACATCCTGGGCATGTCAGTGCCTGTGGGGAGGGACAGCCCAAGTGCCCAGGGAGGGTGGGGGGGTCTCTGGTGTGTGGATGAGCTCCTGTGTGCACACACACGGTACTAGGACCATGTGTGGGGAGGGGGCTGTGGGACCATGCTGGGGTGTCAGCAGTGCCTGATGGGCTCTGTGAGACGTGGGGGTGGCCCTGGTGGGGTGCAGGGGCACGGGGTGTCCTTTGGGGCTGTGGGCCCTACACGTGAGGAGGACGAGCTGCTTGGGGACAGCCGTGAGGATCCCGTTTGCTGCAGAACCCAACCCCCAGCCCGGACCTCCACTCCACACCTGGGCTGTTCAGTGTGGGTTTTGGCATCATGCAGCCCAGCAGGAGGAACCCAAACATTCTATCCTAGAGCATCCTGGAACTCTGCCAGGAGTCAGCCCTGCCAAGGACAATCCCTCATCTCCGTGTGCCCAGGAGGTGCCTAGGGAGTGCTTGAGGGTGCAAAGGGGGCAGGGATTGTTCTTGCCCCCAGTTTCAGCCCAGCTCTCCCAGATGGGATGAGTTGGGAGGCGATTGGGAGACAATGGAAGAGATGTCCTGTAGGATGGGACATGGCTCACGTGCCCCACAGTCGGAGTGGGACAGTTATGGGAGGGCCTCATATAACCCACCAGGATGGGCCTTGCCCTCGGGGATGGGAGGTGAAGACACAACCCCAGCACAGCCCCATCCATCCCACCTCCCTCCGCCGCCTTTCGGGAGCTTACCCTTGCCGCCTTGGACGAGTAGGGATCCTCAAAGAGCGCCCACATCTTGGGCTGCCAGTTCCGGCAGCAGCCACCCCCTCCAGCCGCCCCTGCCGCCCCTGGGGGCCTGTCATCCATGCCCAGGCGCTGAAGGGCCATCTCCCTGCCCCCTTCCTCTTCAGGCTCCTCTCCACCAGCCCCTCCGCCAGGCTCGGGACTCTCAAAGATGTCCAGGGCCTCCTCGGCGTCGCGGTGCTGGCGGTAGGTCATCCAGCAGCAGGGCTCCACGTCGGTCTCGTCGATGCCCCAGTAGGTCAGCTCCTCCTCGAAGAGGGGCCCGCAGATGTCCGCGGGGCAGTGCAGCTTCCCGGTGCGGTAGTAGTTGAGCACGTAGGAGAAGATCCCGGGGTGCCGGTCGAAGAAGAACTCGTTGCTTTTGCCATCAAAGTCAAAGTTGCTCTGGGCATCGGGGTCGGCCAGCCAGGCCAGGCGGGTGCCCGGCAAAGTCCGCAGGGTGCTTTTGTAGGTCTCATGCCGGGTGCCACCTACGTTGATGGTGATCTTGTCCGACTCTTCCCCTTTGCCCATCTCTTCCTTCAGGCATGTTTTGGAGGGTGGTTTGTTCCCAGACTTGCGTCCACGGTAGGAGGAGACACACACCGAGCTGATCATAGATTTCGGTGGATGGGAGATGCCCACAACGTGCACCCTTCCTCCGGGCGAGGAGCTGGGGCTCAGCGAAGGCGGGAGGGGAGGACAGAGATGGGACTGGGGAGGGGAAAAGGGGGGGCTCAGCCTTGGCCCTGGCCTCGGGGGGAGCAAGCTGGAGCCGCGCCGGACACCGCTGGCTGCCGGGGGGACAGCAGGGGAGGCTGCAACCTCCACCCCCTCCAAAGCCACCCCCCCCCAAATAAAACCGCCCTAAACCTGGAGCCAGCCCAGCCCCGCCGGGCAGCAACAAGTGCGGGATGGAGGGGGCCAGCAGTGGGCGGGGGGGTGCGGCAGCCGGGGGGGATGCGGGCCCGGCCGGGAGGATGCCGGAGAAGGGATGGGGGATGCTGAGCCCGGCCGGGCGGTGTGTCCCCCCCTCCCGGTACCTGCAGCGCCAGGCGCGGGGGGGCCCCGCCGCCCGCCCCTCCCGCTCCGGCGGCTCTGCGCTCCCTCCGCCCCCCCGGGCCGGGCTCGGGGAGGAGGCGGCGGCCGGGGGGCTCTTCCCCGGTTGCCGGCAGAGAAGGGGGTATGGATGCGCCCTCTCGGCCTCCCCTCCCGCTCTCCCTCCCCGGCGGTCCCCGTTCACGCGTGGCCGGCCCGGGGGGGCCTGTTGCGCCCCGGCGGTGCCTCCCCGCGTGGCTCTGCGGGAGGGAGGCGGCGGGAGCGGCTGCGGGGCTCGGCGGGGATTTTATAGGGCTGGGAGCGAGCGGTGGGGTTACGAGAACCGGCGCCGCCCCGCCGGGGGGCCGGGGACCCCCCGCCCCAGCAATCCCTCCCCTCCATCCTCCCTTCCCTCCATCCATCCCTTCATCCCCTCCACCCCCAGCCCAACCCTCCGCCTACCCCCGGGTCCCCCGCACCCCCCGGCACCGGCTCACCTCCCCGCGGGGCCCGACGTGCCGGTGAGGGTCTCGGGGGGTCGGTGTCAGCGAGGAGTGAACCCCGGACACCCCAGCTCCTCTTCGCGCCGGAGGGGAAATGCAGCCCAGAGCTGCCTGCGGATCTGGAGCCAGCTCTTGGCAGAGGCTCCCGCAGATCCCATCCCTCCCTGGCTCGCAATCCCTCGCTCACCGAGAGGTCAGGAGAGACCGACCCCGGGGCCGGTGGGGAGCTGGGAGGCTGCACTCGGAGCTGACCCCCCTTCCCTCCCACCGCCCTCCCCGAGCATCTCTCCGCCCTGTTTCTGCTCCTGCGTGCGAGATGCCCCTTTCCCGCAGCGGCTGCCGGGGCTGGGGGCACCAACCACCCCAGCCCCCGGGGCCCTTCCCCTAAACCCCCTTCCTGGGGGGCTCCGCGCCCCCCGGGACGCTGGCGGTGCTCAGCCCCGGCTCCCGGGGCTGGGGAGGGGGTGAAGGGCTGTGGTGCCCCGGGGCCGAGGCTGCCCCCCAGGTGGAGACCTGAGGCACTCACCGCTGTTTACCTCTGCACCGGCACTGCCGGTGCTGCTGCACCGAGGGCGTGGGGGATGCTTTGGGGCCATAGAAGGGATCCAAGCCCAGCACAGGCCTGGTATTGGGGTGGGGGCTCATCCAGGAGGGGCAGCACTTGGATAAGGGAGTTCTTGGTGCAGGGTGAGGGGACAGGAGTGGGGATGCTGCCTCAGCACCCCTCCCTGGGCTGTGCACTGTCACCCCACCAGGGCCCTCCTCACCCCCTGCCCAGGTTTGTCCCCTCTGTTTGTGATGTGTCCCCAAAATCCAGGGAGCACTGGGGGGAAATGCTCCACCTAAAAAAACCCACGAGGCACGAGAGCCACGCTGCAATCTTACCACCAAGAAAGCCCCAAGAAAGCTCCAAGTGTGGCTGCAACTCCACGGCTTCCAGGGCCGGATCCTGAGCGGGTGGAGGCTGCCGGAGCTCCACACCCAAAGCAGCCCGAGCTGCCCCCGCGGGAGAGCCTGGAGCCCGAGGGAAAAGCGTGCTGGAAAGATCGAGCCTTGCATCACCGGCCAGGCATCGCGGCTCGGCTCCTCATCGCCGTCATGCCGGTTTGGCCAGGAGGGAGGAATGCTGCGACCTGAGGCTAATATTTTATCTGCCGACTTTCATCCCGCCAGGAAGAGCTCCGTGCACCCAAGCGCGGCCGTTCCTGGGGTGGGAGGAGGTGGCCAAGCAGACAAATGAGTTGTTTCTGGGGAAGGAAGAGATCTTTTAGCCAGCAACACCCGCCCAAAGCTGTCTGCTCTCTAAATATGCCTTCTGATTTTTAATGTCCATGGGAAAAAAAGAAAAGAAAAAAAAAAGAAAAGAAAATAGAGAGAGAGAAGGAGAGAAAAAATTGGAAAGAGCTGGATAAATAAGGGGCTTTTTGGAGCAAGGAGTCACTTCTGCAGTGATGTCCTGCAAGGCTCAAGGCATCTCAGATAACATCTAAAGGATGGAATGAAGAGCAGGACCTGGAAGATCTCGAGGAGGATCAGCTCTAGCCTGGAAAGCCTTGGATGGGTCCTGAGGACATGAGAAGGGGTCTCTGGGTCACCATGGCCTCTTCCCCTGACCCAGCACAGCACCTGAGCCTGGCCCAAGGTCCTGCACATCAGGCACATCCCCAGAGGTGGGGAGAGAGCAGCAGGAGAGAGCACGGGATGCTCAGGGGGCTGAGTGGCCCCACAGAGAGGCTGGGGGCACACTGGGACCCCTCAAGGTCTCTGTCCATGGAAGGACAGAGGAGGAGGGTGGAGTGCAGCAGTTTAGGGACAGACAATCCTGTTTTGGTGCAGAAATAGCCAAACCAAACTCTCCAGGTCCTTCTAGGCCAGAATCTCATTAATGAAAGACATGTTGTCCTCAGGAACCCCTGGATGCTCCAAACGAGCTCTCTGCCCTCGGGTTTTTGGTGGGACAGATTCATCTCTGATCTGTGTGCGTGGCACCCACAGCACTTCCCTCCCCAGGGTGTGATCCCCAAGAAACCTCTCTAGTCTCTCTCTTGGAGCTGGCTCTTCCCAAAAAAGCTGTCACAAGCCATGGACAAGCTCTGTCTCTCCTCTCTGCCTCTGCCAGGTGAATTTTTCAGCTACAATTCCTCATTTCAGCAGTGCAGGTTACACTGACAGAGTTTGCAGCCCCATCCCTCCCTGAGCTCAGCCTGGAAGGGCAGCTCGCACCATTCCCGGGTGGGGAGCGCTCCCCGAATTGCTGGCGCGTCCCTTGCTCTGTCACACAGTGCCACCTCGTGTCCTGCGCTCCGCCTGGAGCCCCGGCAGGCAAAACACGGGCGCCGGAGCCTGGCGGGGTCTGGGGAGAATCTGGCTCCATCCTCGGCATCGCTGACGCAATTTCACTCCGTAAAAGCGGCTTGGGACCGGGAGGGGGCTGGGCTGGAGCGAGGACAGCGGTGGGCATGGTCCGGCTTTGGAATGAGCCAGAGCGGTTCGTGCGGGGGGGCCGTGCCTCGGTTTCCCTGTCTGGAAGCATCAGGATGTCCTTTCCTTCCCGAGGTGCCAAGGGAATCACAGCAGATGCTGCTGTAGCAGCTCCACCTCGTGTCCGAACACACCTCGTGCCCGGAGCCTGGTCCAGAGTTGTTTTGAGATGGGAGACCCAAAAACCCACCCCCACATCCACAGCAATGTCCTTCACCTCCCAGCAGGCTCTGAAACCTCTCTCCCTCACTGTCACAGGAAGTTCAGTATTTGTGGGGTTTTTAAAATAGAGTGTATTTGGCTTAAGTCCCACATTTGGGCCCATTTCTGTGTCATTTTCCATCCCCCAGGGGCCAGAATCACCCCTCCAGTTTGTTTTTCTCACCTGTTTTCAGGAAGGCCCTGGTGCTGGGATTTTCTGGCCCCTCTGAGCCCCTGGGAGCACAGGATGGGCTGAGTTCAGCTGGTTCAGCACAGCAGTGACACCACACGTGTCCCATGGAGCACTTGGCATTGCCCTGAGCTGGGATCTCCATCCCTGCTCCCCCAGACCTGGGCTGTGCTGGGGTCAGAGCTGCCCCACGTGTCCCACTGTCCTGGTCAACACTCCTGGGGGATGTTTCCCTCAGAGCTGGGTCCTGGATGTCCTCTGGGACACGGAGAACATTCTGCCACCTCCTGTCCCCTCCCTGGGCAGTGCTGCTCCTCCAGCCATGTCAGACACTTACCCCAGTCACAGAATTCACAGAATCACAGAATTACCAGGTTGAAGAGACCTTCAAGATCACTGAGTCCAGCCCAGCCCCAACACCTCAACTAAACCCTGGCACCCAGTGCCACATCCAGGCTTTGTTAAACACACCCAGGGATGGGGACTGCACCACCTCCCCGGGCAGCCACTGCAGAGCTTTATCATCCTTTGCATGAAAAACTTTTTCCTAATATCCAACCTAAATTTCCCTTGCTGCAGCTTGAGGCTGTGACCTTTGGTTCTGTCAGTGCTGCACCAACATCTCCAGATGGTGCCCAAAAGACCTTCCCTGCCTCCCCACAGCTGCCCCTGCGTGGGGACAGGCTCAGCTCATGGCCGTGGCAGTGTCCCCATGTGTGGTGGCATCCCCAGGGCAGGGATCTCCTCTGCATCCATCTCTTCCCTCCTTCCTCATGCTCTCTGAAGCAGCCCCGGCAAAGCCAAACAAGCCAGCAGAGATGGGAGGGAAGGGAAGAAGCAGCTCTGCTTCCCAGCTAACCTGAGCTAATTCCCAGCAGCTGGAGTCATCTGGGATTGCTGGAAACCCCAGGTCCTTCTCCAGACTCCCAGCACTCAGGATAAGCCAGCAGCACTGCTAGCAGGGCACTGTGCAGAGGAGCAGACCAGTCCCAGTGCCCTGGAAAGCCAAGGGCTACTGGTTAAACTGGCCCAGCAGGGAAAAGAACCTCCACACGCTCCTGAAGCACCCACACACAGCTGGCTCTGAGCAAGGCCCAGGCAGAGGCAGATGCTGGGTGGAGGAAGGGATGAGGGGAGACAGAAGGACAACAGTGGGACAGACAGGGAAGGACAGACCTCGACACCCGTGGGCCCTTCGCTTTCTGTCTCTGCCACCCTAAACCTCAGAGAGACCCCAAAGCCCACCCAAGGAAGGAAACAGAGGCACAGAAGAGACTCGGTGAGGAGAGACTTGGTAAGAAGAGACTTTTAATCAGACTCTGATACAGCTCTTACAGGGTTTCTCTCGGTGTCCGAGGAGCCCGGGCGGCGCAGCCCGGCCCCGCCCGGCACACGTGGGAACTACTGCGGCTACCGGGGACACGGGACACGCCACTACCAGCTCTGTGCTTTACTGTACAGGAGGGTTTCGCCAGTGTTGTGCTTGTCCCAGGGGAAGCAGCCGCATCCTGCGTGTTCCCGTGCTGTGCCATGTCCCTCCCGGCCGCCGAGGCCACCCGGCCCCGCTCCTGCCAGCGAGACCCGCGTCGGGAAGGGTGGGGGCCATTAGAAGGCAGTGGGAGCTGCTTCTGGGAGGTGCTGGGGCTGAACGTGACCTGTCAGGGTCTGGGCAGGAGCTGAGAGGTGAGGAAGGGGCTGTTCTGGAGGGATTGGGGGGAAGGAGCCGTGGGACACCCTGGGGACCCAGCTCCAGTCGTGCCCTCTGCCTTGCACCGGGGCCAAGCTCCCTGCAGCAGAGGCCGGTGCTGGGGAACAGAGCACCCCAACTCCAGCCCTGCAGGCCGGACCTGCAGCTCCAGCAGCACAGGGTGTGCCCCCAGCGACCTCCTTTGTGCCCTCTGCAGACCCACTGAACACCCTTCCCCTGAGAGGGAACGGGTTCGGACCCCTCGCAGGGACACCCCGCTGCTCTGAGCAGCAGGATCCGGGCTGGGAACCCCTCCAGGAGCTGATGTGGGGGGACAGGGATATCGGCAGCGGTTCCCCCCTCTTTGTCCCACCGCCTGAAGGAAAACTGAAAAGTGCCTGTGCTCACAACTAGCAGCTATTCCCTGTGCCTCTGTGCAGAAAAAGAGGAAAAGAAGTGATTTTTAGGGCTAAAAGCCACTGGGGGTCGGCCCAATCCGCAGCCTGGCACCCCGAGAAGGTGTGTGGAGGGAGAACCTGCCCCGGCGAGCGGGAGAAACCCCCACAGCCCCACACAGGCTCCAAAAGTGAGCGAGTAGAGCCAGAAGTGAATGCTAAAGGCAGCCACGCACACGGACACGCGCACCCCACGCACGGCATCTACGGACGAACACGCGCACGCTGCCAC